CTTCCCCCCCCCCCCCAAAAAAAATCACAATATCACTCTATCCTTCAATCTACGAAGCCCTTTTCTCTCAGACCTAGTTCCCTCCCCGAGCAACAATGCAATTCATCAAAGTAGTCACTTACTTAAAAGAGCAACATTAATATTCGGAGCAGGCTGGGATAAGTTAGGTGAGATGTATGGAATATTGCCGCATTCATCTATGACCGTTGTATCTATAGAAATGAGAAAACTGATTATAAAACAAGTAGGGTAAGATGTCAGACACCAATGTTTACAAATAATATTGCACGCTTGACAGGTTAGTATCATTATGTGTATGTATAATAATCATTATATTCTCATTATGTAATTCGTTTTTACGGGATGATGATTTAAATGGTAGGAAAGGTGTGAGTTGTTTCTTTTACACAATATGTAAAGTGAGTGTGCCATCCAGCGAAGCTGATCGTGTGGCACATCCGAAGTTTTCGAGGCTTGGTTGATGAGTGAGAAAATAGTACACGTAAAATTACCGATGATTATATGTATATATACATATATACATATATATATATATGCTATATATATATAGGCTATATACTTATATATATATATATAATGTGTGTGTGTGTGTGTGTGTGTGTACTACTAGGTCAACCACAGCCGAGCCCAAGCATGGATCCTCCATTCATCCCTGTTCCGTATACTGGCTGCAGCTCATCTGTCACTAAACCAGAATCTTTTTTTGAGTAAATTCATGTAAGTTAATTTTTGTCTGCCTCTATATATATAAACATGTATATATAAACCATCAAACAAAGGTAAATACAGTGTTAGATCTGTCTCTTAAGGCACGAACTCCTTTCAAAATGCAGACACCGTGCCAAATTCCTACTCAAAAACACATAATACCTAATTTGCATCTACACCGGCCCAACTCTACATACGTCAAATTTGAAATTCCCTTCACTCCTGAAGATTGCCTAGTGCATGAAACAGCCTGTAGAGTGAAATTACAAGTTCCTTATTATTAGTATTATTATTATCATTATATATATATATATATATAGATGTGTATAAGAGACAGATATAGGCCTATACGGGACCGTATCAAGTATAGCTCATCAAGTATCTTTATAGGCCCTGGCGGGATTCGAACCAGAACCTCTCGCTATCAAGGCGGGTATCATATCCATTAGACCACAGAGACGACCTATAGGTGAAGATCTAACCCCCAGGCACTTTCTCATACAACTAACTGAATCGCTCGCACATAGTGGAGCTCTGGTTAAGCTACAATAACGTGTTGGTCGCAGCTGGGATAGCATAGCAAATGATATTCAAATCAAGTTTGCTGCGTAGCCCCGTAAACACAATACGGTACAGAATAATAACTGTATATATATATAGTATGTACAGTACATACAGTACAGTGTATAAAGTATAACAGACAATTACAACAATCAATTCGGTCGGAGTTACAATCATAACAATACAAAGCTCCTTACCGTTTTTACCATTAGGTGCGAGGGAATGCGGATAGAGCGGTGTTATTTCACTACTTGTTCCCGTCATTTTCCAAAGATTACTCGGAATCCACATAATTTCCACTGAAATATGTAAATAATATTCATATTCTTAAAAATAACGTACACATTTAAAAAAAAAACAGCTGTAACATCAATAAACCATCTATCAACTATGAGCACACCAAACAAAAGCAAATCAATTTATTCTAGACTGTCTCCTTGTTACTGCATCGACATTTTAATGATTACAATTTCACTGTTAATGTGCTTGGCTGCTATATTTTTTGATGTAGTTGTGATACATTTTATAGTTCCTATATTTTTTCTCGCATTAGTGTTTATTCGAAGCAAGAGTTTACGGAAAGTGACGTTTTGGGGGAGCCTTTCCTAGCGGGGCTTTACCGTAAATGTAAGCCTTTAGGATACCCACCAGTCATTCATTTTGAGCTTCCAACTAGTTCATACTCCCATTCCAATTTTCTTTACAGTAGAGCCCTATTAAGGGGACAGGTTCAGGACAAAAGTGTCCCTTTAATAGGAGTGTCCCTTAAATTGGGGTTGGCCGTAGTGTTAAAGGATATAATTTCCCTCATTTTAGCCAAAAGAATTGTCATTTAGTCAGTTTGTTCAAGATTGTTTCGGCTTACTCGTTCGCACGTATAATTTTTGCACACGATCCGCAAAACAGTCGTTGCAACAAGTCAGATATAGGCTTATTGGTACCATTGAACACTCATACATTAATTGGTAATAAGTACCTCACATTAGCTGCATTCAAACCCCCAAAAAGTGTATTATCGACAAAGAACTAAAGCCTGGTTTCCATACAATCGCTACACGATCGCCGACAGCTTTCGGTGATGATGATTGATCGGTAGAGTCGGGGACTGCAACATAGCACAAGTATTGCACTGAAAACACTGAAGTGACAGTGTAGCGATTTTAAGGAGACCAGGCTTTATTGAAAATAGCTGTGTATTGAGCAAGTGATGTTTGTAGGACCAGGTACCCGGTTTGGTCTACACATTATTAACATTGTCAGTGGTGAAACGTTGAGCTTCCAATGGTTCAATAACATTGTGTCCTTTGGCATGGCAGTTTATTTAAGCGTACCACGCTTCGTCCAGTAGATAATGATGTTAAATGTATTTTTTAGTAGTACACGCTGCGCTGAATGTACTTATCCAATAGGAATTCCCTATGGCACAGACGAGGTTGAATATTTCGCTTGTTTGTTTATACATCCAATGAACGGATAAGAACGGATAATTATTATTACACAATTCACGCAAAGTGAGTTGCCAGCTAGAAAGCATTATGACATAAGTGACTTGGGGATGTAAAATGGCCGTCTTTTAATTCAACCGCACTGCATGTGTAATTAGCTGCACGAACAATCTAGTCACACTATCTCACATTTGGCTGTAATCAACATTATACACTAATAATAAAAGTTCATTCGGAGACAAGTTGTTATTGGAATTGCTGTAACCAATGGCTGATGTTATGAGCCCCACTACACAACACTGTAGAGAAAAGTATCGAACAATCAATAATGATCACTACCGTCCTCTGGGGATCAAGAGCGACAACAAATCAGTTCACGCAGCATGCGCAGCAACTGTGATGGTGGTGTGTGCAACGCATCTGAATTGCGTGTATAATGTTTTACACGTGTGTGCGTGCGGGGTGGGTATGTCGGGTCGCGTGTTCAAGGTGGGTGCAAAATACAATTTAATTGTCAATGATTCAAAGGTTTAGGGGGATCATTGAATGCGAATGGCCTTAACTATAGCCTGTGTGGGCTGCTCTGCGGTTTTCGATGACGGATGCAATAACAACCGTTTCAGAAAAATCACAACTGTTATAAGATCCTTAGAAATGTCAGCCAAGAAAAAAAATTATTAAGACAGAAACAAACTAAAATCGAATTCATATAGGCATGTAGTACAGGGAAGGGTTTTTTTAAAAGCATTATGTTCAGGGGTGGCGCCAGGATTTGCCCGAGGTGGGGAGGATGATGCCCCCGAGGAGAGGTCAGATTTCCCCGACGAAAGCAAAGTGGGCGTGGTCTAGCTTCGATTAAAAGGTTTCGAAAGTGGCCGAGGACCAGCTCTCCCCGACGGGAGCCCTGGCCCGGGCCCTGGCCCCGGTCCCCCCCCCCCCGGTGGCGCCACCCCTGATTTATTGCATGGAAAAGATCATTGTAGCTTGTTTCTATTTCACAGGGACACTAGGATTTCAACAAATAAGTCGTTTTAGAGAGGATTGCACAATAATTGAAAGCAATTTCAGGAGAAAGCCAATTCTGTCGTTCATGAACGGGTCAACGGACAACTCTGTCATCGAATATAGATTACGTTAAAAAGTCTGTCTAAACTGTAATTTTCGGGCACATTTTATGTGTCTCTTAATGTCTAGGAACACCACATTAGCAGCACACAAGAAATAGTCTTATTGCTGCTACTGCTTCGTACACGAATCCCGACGGCTTTCCCATAAATCGTTAATTTAGTGATTATCTCTTAAGGGATAGTAATAAAATTGAGATATGTGTGATAAAATTCAATCCTTTACTATGATTTTATAAAGCTTTTGGTATTGTTTTTGTTCTTTTTTTTAAGACAAGACGTTGAAACTTGTCAGTCAATGCGATTTATACGTCAAAGGAAAATAAAATTTATGAGAAAAAGAAAGATGTCGTAAATAGTTGGTAATATAAGATGATGTTCAATAACATTAGCAGTTGCTGCATAACTGTCGCTAATGTTGGCAATACCATTTGTGTAATCAAGAAATCACTCTGTTTTCATACCATTTACGATCTGTTTTTATAACTGTATACTAACCTCATATCGACACGTCATATCTAGGCCTAGTTTAATATCCGTATGATGATTCTTCAATTTTACGATAAAACCACGCTTTAAGCGCCTTTCACATCTAGGCCCCTTATTCAGGTTCCAGTTCGGGCTCCATTTTCATTTCCGGTTCCTCTAGGCTTCCATGGCTAGATTCTTCTATACACTAATGATTTCAAAGGATTCTTCTACACAGTAGGCCCCGGATACACATTATGATTTCAAAATTAGTTGATTTAGATGACAATTACATTAATAATGTATTATAAAACTCTCGAACCCACTATTGGTCTACTGAAGACACCACATGTACATTATGTAAAAAGAGAAAAGAGGATATCGGTCATTTCTTGTTTATATGCAGGGCTTCGAATGAAGTAAGATGCTATAGAGAATTTTGCCTATTAGGACACGAGTTGTACAATAATAATCTTTAATAAATATGGCACTTGTTTATCTCAGGAAATCTTGAAATCAAACTGTTAATGGCAATGGGTAACACTGATTTGTATACTGATAACCATAAATGGAAATTGGTAAATCAAATTCTGAATAAGTACTACGGTAGCATATCTTAGAAGAGCATGGCGATCACGTAACCTATTTTAAGTACAATCTGAGTCGGAATATACTACAGCATTGCATGATTTTAATCTTCTTGTTCTAAGCACTTTCAAACCATTTAAACCACCCTATCAATTATAATGTACAGTTTCTGGTAAATTTTGAACTTCGACTTATCCAAATTTTAACCCTTTTGCACATTTCACCCGTTCCTGTTTTACTGTATTTTTAAATAATTTTGAATGGTTTTAAATGCTTAGGTTAAGATTAATTGATTTTAAAGTTCACTGTATATTTTACTAAATTATCTTGTAAGCTTTGTTTTATTTCTGTATACATGTGTCGTTTTTTATCTGTGGTTTTATAGTTTTATTGTGAACGTACTGCATGACATGTGCCACTGATTCAATTGCAAAAGTGTAATTTTCAAATAAAGTTATTATATTATATAAAGGATAAGCCGTAATCTATTTTAAAGTTGCAATTGTTCAGTTTTTATCTATAGATGATTCTGATATGGGGTGAGGATATGGGAATGGGGCGATGGAAAAATACTATTTTAGTCAGTGAGTTTTCAGTTAGGAGTGGGGTGTAAAGTCGATAAAGGACTCCTTGCGTTGATGGTAGGGGATAAAGCTTGGAGATTAGGAATTTATAATATGAATGTGTTATAAAGACAGCGGTGATCTTTCATTTTTCTGTGGCAGAGGCTTCGAAAGGACAGAATAGCACACTTCGTTGATTACCTAATAATAATATCTTTACAACGGATCGGAGTTTGGACGAACAGAGCTCGTCTAATTAAGCTTCATAATAAAATAAAGGTATCCCTTGGGATAATATGTGTGAAATAACAATATATTTGTAACTCGTGAACTCGTTATCAAAGTTATACGGTCACGAAGACAGGTAATAAGCCCCTATGTCTTATTGCTAACAAAACTTAATACTATCAGGGCTAGCCGTAGCACAGAACTCCACTGGGCTTCTTCTGTTTTTGGGGTTATTTTTTTTATTTTTTTTATTTTTTTATTTTTTTTTGCGAACTTTGAATGGGCTTATTTTCGAGACTACTTTTGCAAAGTAAAGAGGGGCTTCTTTTCAAAATGAATGCTGTAAATTTTGTGAATTTGTACTATAAAACAATAAATAAGGCCATTTTAACATCAATCTGTGAAGTGTATTTAACTGGCACTAAATCACCTAAACTACACTTATAAACCAAGCTTGTATTTTATTTATGTTATTTTCTGAAATTCATGAACAGTGTATGTACTGTACTATCTCGAAAAGAAGCCTCTGCTATCTTGAGGCTAATTTTGCACACTAAAGAGAGGGTTTTAATTCGATATGGGCTTCATCTCGGGACTAAGCCCCCTAGGCTTCAATTCGAGTTACGGTATATAGGCCTAAGCAAAATTTCTGGCTAATCATTTTGATAATGTCATACTGTACTGACAACAACTTTCCAAATGCGCTTCACAATAGTTATCTTAACACTATGTCATTAACTGATAAACGCAAACTGAACGATTATGACGCAAAAACGCGTTATTGACTTGATTGTGCGAATAATCCTAGAGTACTGAATGTATGATGTAAACTTGTTTTTTCAGTAGTAAAATCATTATTTATTTAGCCTTCCCATTGTTTTAAACATCAACGTAATAAATTCTTTTCAATAGAAGGACCGGTGGATTGTGTTAAATAACTGACAAGGGAATACGATGGCTAGGCCTATAGTACAATTTATCAATCAGTGTTTTATGGAACATTACAGCATTTTGAAATGACATAATTAACCATAGAGATTAGGGCCTACCTTCATATGGGCAGGCTTTGAAAAGGCCTGCATGAAGCTTAACCCAGGCCTGAAGCGTTGCGTTACCAAATTCTCTCTCGTAGGCTAGTTCGGTCGTAATAATCCAGTAATCACTGAACAGGCCTCCAATAAGAAGCAGCATCGAGAGCACACCGAACGCCAACATACCGACGGTGAGGAGAGGCTGTTTCTTAGAGCCCAGTCTAAGACCTGGTAATTTCTGCATTTCTTGTACTTTGAATAGTAAAAAATAATATTAATAATAAAAATACTCGAAATAATAATAGATTTAATAATGTTCATAATCATTACAAATGATATAAATAGTGATAATATACAATAAGAATCCTAACAACAAATACATTACAGCACTGCATTAATAATAATAATAATAATAATAATAATAATAATAATAACAATAATAATAATAATAATAATAATAATAATAATAATAAAATATATTCTATGCGATAAATCATTGTTCATACACTAGAAGCGCAAAGCGTCTAATATTGCTCTCTTGTGTCAACCATCTAGTCAGATTCAAGCCAATCAGAAGACAGATTAAGAACGGATGCGGGATCACTAAAATTATGACGTAAGCAAGTGGGGCTGCAAAATAAATTAGTATTTTGTTAGTGGATATATAATAATAGTTCTCTATATCAAACGACTGTATTGTCTATCTATGTATTAGATGGTATTCCAGTAAGTAGTGCGTTAATACAGAATTGTCCTAGAAATAACTCTTAGATTTTTTTAATAAAGATGATAGATACACATCTAATTCGGTTCGTTTGATGTAGAAAAAGTACCGTGTTGGTCTCACCATGGACTCATCACAGGAGAAAACATCTTTAAGCAATCTAATGATGTAACCGATCATATTACGCTGTATTTCTACCGCTTCAATCACGCGTGGATACGCGATCTGCCACGGAGATGGAGTCCATATTTATGAATGTGATGAGATAAATATGGCATTTCATTGTGATGCATCAATATAATAAGATCATTAGTAGTTATACAGAAAGAGAATATTTTAATTATTATAGAACAGTATGTAGGCCCCATTATTACTTTCCGTTCTTTTGACATTGTTTTAACACTTTTCTTTTTAAAGTTCATGCATAGAAATACCTATGTTTTTGAATACAAACTCCATGTTTTTAAGCACAGTAGTGGCCTATTTATATTCGTATGCAGACACCAAAACAGGCTAACACGAATATTGTAGCAAAAAGTGCAAAACTGGAGATCCGTTCTTAAGGTTTATTTTATAGACTATTATATTGTTTTGTAAAATTGTCTGTAAATTTGATTCAGAAATTAACATTTATTATCAATAATGGTCTTTATAATTAATGCTACTATTATTATTAGTTTCTATCATCATCGTCCACAACCTCATAGTTCTAATAATCACTTTATTCGCATTATTTAAACTGTCGTTCGTAATTAGCCATGAGTCAATTGATCATATATTATTATTATTATTACAATTATCACAATTACAATTATATATATTCTGTTTGTTATCTTCACATGCTTTTGTACTTTTTATCGTCATCATTAACTTGCAGGTAACTTTTTCAGCTCGCTTTCGATTTACTGTATTTTGCAAACGTGGCGATGCGTAGCATACAAACCACTTTCGAAGTGGCAAATTGCACTTTCCTTTCATTAGTACCACCGCTATAACTAATCTCTGTAACCTAATTCAACCGATTATTTATGGACTTAATGGTGTAGAATCTGAAAATATCAAACTTGGTAGAATGGGATTTCAAGATGTCATAAATGATCGATAGGCTACGGTATAAATTTGAAAAAGGATATAATTCTAATTCATCAAATTTAAAAAAAGAAATTCTAATTTATCAAAAAATCAGTAAATATATCGTTTTAGTGTAATAATAGGCCTGCAGTCGTGGAATCACGAGTCACCATAAACACTGTCGTGTCAGATCATGCTGTGACGCGTGTTGGCACGTGTATAAAAAGATTTAACATAACCATTCAATTTATAGTCCTATAGTTTGCTTGGCAATATCTGTTCCTTGATATTTACTAACAATATCCATCAGCGTGAATGATGTAGGTTATCTTGACAGCGAAAAGAACGAATTATGATACAGTAATAAATTTGAAACAGAGTTTGAAAGTAAAATATTTTAAAGGAAGACAAATACGGTAATAATGATAATAATAACAGCAAGAAATGCGATAATATTAATTATAAAAAAAATAATATTAATAAAATATAAGAATAATAAATATGCTGGGAACGAATTATATGAGCGATTGAATAAGATGAATTAGCGATTACGTATCTTATATTAAATATAAAACAACTACCGGTATAACGTAAGTTACTCATGTTATTTCTTTCCTGTAGTATGAATATGCCTATATATGTGTTTTCATTTTGTCAATGTTTTTAATGTTATATTGTATTTTTCTATTTAAAATCAAATACCGGTAGGTACTTTTTAACCCGTAGTGATCTCCTTGGTTGCATTATTAATGAGATTCATTTGCTGTTCATTTTACAAGTGCAATCAGACATAAATATAAATCATAAACCATTATCAAAATTACATTCATTAGTTGAGCAAATATGGAACTAAAACAATACGTGCATACAGTTTTATGTCAATTGTTTTTTTTAAATACTCATCATTTTCATTAACATCAGCTGGCTCCTTAATTTTCAGAAATTCAAATCAAATAAACCAATGGTGGTTTCAAGGGGCAGCGAAAGGCGCACTTTTCCCTCCATCTCATGTAGCAGACAAAAAATCGCAAACGAAGTGTCAAATATTATTTAGATTTTTCTTTTCATTTTGGTACTTCGTGTCCCGGCAAAAAAATATCCTGAAAACGCTCCTGATAAACACAATATGCACACATGCAATACGGTATACTTAAGAAAAACTTACCCGTAGGCCAACTTGATTACACGTGTCGAAACGAACTAATCCAGACACATATAGAGCACCAGCTGCGCACACTGTAAAAGCTTCTTCAGTGACTTTACAGATGAAGATCCGTCATGTCATTTGCGTGAATGGGCCTAATGATGATGAGCGATGGACGACGACTGCTTCGTGACCTCCTATCGGTCGTATTTACATCAGTAAATCCTGAATCTACAGATACTACATACCATACACCACCTCAGAGACTCACTCGACGCAAATGCAATGAGCGTTAAATGAAAGACAATCGTTATAGAATTTCAGATTCATGGGAAATTGATTGGAGAATAGCAAGCTTCATCAAACTTCACCCTATACGATAAAACAAACTGTTCACCGACAGAGAATATTTGAAATAATAAAGCATCTGAAAAAAAAGAGAGTTCGCTTTGCTGAGATACTTTAAAAAAGCGCTTCCAAGTTCTCTGAGATACTTAAAAAAAGACAGCAAAGTATAATTTAGGCCTAAATTAGCAGGATTTATTTTTTAGAAATTTAAAACCGGGAAGACTAAAATTTGTATATTATTTTCAAAGAGTATGTTTATGATCTATACAAGCTGCTTATACTTATACTGATGTTTACAATTTCGGTTGTTTTTCTACTATTGTATTTATCTGGTTAAATTCATTCGTTTACTGTTTCGGGCAACCTAAAGAAAATATTGATAAAAAATATATGTCGCTGTTCTATTCTGTAAAATCGTGTGCTATTTCCCAAAAGTCCTTTAAACCTGAACACGTAGCGAACAATATAATATGTTCGTCTTCTAGCACACCTGTCTTTATCTGCTATATTCCGCACGTTTACCTGTTAGTTAAATCTCAAATTCAATTCTGCTAATTTTTTTTTTTTACGTAATTACCTGCTTGGTAAGCCAGACATATAGTTATAGTCTTGGCTCTAATAATTTGTTGTATAACGATTTATTCAAAGTGTGAATGTTTTTTTTTTTCTAATAATTTAAAACATCGAATGAGTTAATTTTTTTATAATTAATATAATACAATTTTCTAATAATTTAAACATCGAATGAGTTAATTTTTGGTCGTTTGGATTTGAATTTTGTGTTTGTTTTGCCTGGATATAAATAGAATAGGCCTAGCCTAGGTCGAATATCGTAACACGACACACGAATACGCATGCCGCCCACACCTATACGTATGTACGTACGTTAGGTGACTGTTTTATAGCAAGATGTACGGATAGCTAATGTAAAAGATAACTTAATAATAATTGTAACGTTTGTGATCACGGGGCCTACATAAAAGCAGACGCATTTTACCGTCCCCTGTGGCCAAATTTGAAATCACGGATGTTGGATCTATAACTTTTGACGATACGTTATTATTATCATGTGGCTTTAATACTTCTCGGCACAAATTTCAAAATCTGAATTACATTAATCAAGATAACAGTATCGAATGCACGATTTCACGCTCGTAAAATCTGTTCATGGGACTCCATGTTGAATACTAAGTTGATGTTATTTGGAAGATAAATCATTAGTTCTGACAAGTAGGGGCATAATATTATACTTGATATATACATACAGTGCTATGTACAGTATTGCATGCTTAAGTGACCAGATAGTCCTAACTCATGAGCTGGCGCGTTAATTGCGCCATTATTACGTGTACCGTACATTTCATTCGGTGAGCGCGCGAGTAGAAGTAAAATGTGTCACGACTGCAACATGGCCAATAATTAATAAGGGCTAGAGGCCTGTTTATACTTCAACGATAACGATAACGATTTTAAAAAAAGCTAAAAAGCGATTGTTGGTATAGAAAACAAAATTTGTCAAAATATGTTGTCACATAATTAACTGATAAATCGTTATCGAATCGTTCTAGTGTAAAAATCTCTCTTATTTCCTTTATTTTCTATATGAAAAATTGCTTTCTAGCTTTTTTATCGTATTCGTTAACGATAAAAAAGCTAGAAAGCGATTGATGATATAGAAAACAAAATAAATAAGAGAGGTTTTTACACTAGAACGATTCGATAACGATTTAACGTGTATACGATAACAAAATATTTTAACAAATCAAATCAGATGACGTCATAATCATGGAAAAACGACAAAATCGTTGCTACTACTACGATTTTAATGTTTTCTATGATTATGACGTCATCTGATTTAATTTGTCAAAATATGTTGTTATCACATAACTGATAAATCGTTATCCAATCGTTCTAGCTTAAAAACAACAATGAACAATTGCTTTCTAGCTTTTTTATCGTTACCCGGTATCGTTATCATTGACCTTATCCTACTGCAGGCAAACAAAATTAACGTAAACACAAACATTTACTTTGTGAAATTTCGTAGATGTGATCCAACTTAAAATATGACTGGTAAAGTGTTGATCAAAGTCATCTCACAACCACCACGTTTTAAGCTCAATGTGTGAAGATTGACTAAATTGCGTTATAGGTGAGATAGAAGAGGTAGGCCTACATTTATGATAAAACGACGGAAATGTTCCTCTTTATCATCGGATAGTCAGAGACATTATGTGCGTCACAGATGAAGCACATTAGGGCCTATGTATTTAAAGTTTTTAATCACATTGAAATCTGCGTTATTAGTTTATTTTTATTAGTTTATTAATTTCTACACATAGGCCAAGGATTGCCAATAGCGATATTAATTTGCTGTCTTGTCAATCAATAACATAAGACAAACATATAATGATATAGGTCTATTATGAAGCTATACATAAGACAAGTCTCATTATACTTATGGTAGTGGAGTTGCTTTGGTCGTGAGAATACTTCCTGTAACTCTAACAGGGATTAAACCCATGACCCTTAGATAAGAAGACAAGCACCTTTACCACCAAGCTACAGCTGCTCCACTATTTCTAGCATCCTAATGGTAAAAGCTCTATAATAAATTAAAGTGTATGATAAGGGCGGATGGTTGGAACATGGTGCTATATAGTACAATATAATATATATTGACATCAGTTAACTTACAATGCAAAGGTGATAGGCAGCACATTGGTCATCAGTACATACATACTCCATACATGACGAAAATACTTTATTTTGCTTCATCTTCATATCGTTCATATCAATTTCATAGTATTTTTAATTTTTTTCTTTATTGCCACCACCTGTCATTGCATCCCTCATGCTTATCATTATTACAACCGCGACCATTATGTCCACATTATCCTCATCACGATCATCATCATCATAAACAACATTATAATCACCATTAACTTCATCATAGTTAATCAATCAATCAATCAATCGAAATAACTTGTATAGCACCAAAATCTATCGCATTAAGTAATGTTCGGTGGCGCTAAATGACGATGGTATCATAATCATCATGATCATCATTATCATCATCATCGCTTTCATCATCAACAGCATCATCATAAAATTACTTACTTGGATATTTGTAGGTCAAACCAACCAAGTACCAAGTAACATCATCATCATTTCATTATGCAGCAGCATTCTGGCAATGAATCTTTCATCTTTCAAACAAAAGTAACAGAAAAATAATTTATAACACAAAATAATATTCTAAACAGTGCCAAATGTAGTACAGTACACCTTTACGGTTTATTACAATTTTTTTCTATATGCTCTTTAAATCCACACAATAGATGAAAATGTAAATATAAAAAGCCTTTTTATAAATGATAAATTTAGAATTTATATTTTAAAAAGATATCATATATATTGTGAAATTATATAGGAGCCCAATACAATTAAGATTAGTCTTCTGATACATGGTTTGGTTTCTTATTGTTTTTCCAAATGTCTACAGCAACAACCGTGGTGAAAGCTAGCATAAAGTTCAGAGGTATCATCATCTTTCCTGCAGTTTTGTCCAAATTCCAAAACAGATAGGTAGTAACTGCATGAACACCAGAATAAGCCAACATACAAACACTGGCCTGCAAGTACACAAATGTATACAAATTAGAAAAAAAAAATTATAACTGACAATTTTTCTAAGTTGCAGTCTAAGTGGTTTTTTGATGTTTTAATTTTTCACACCCTGCAACAAGTACTCTCACCAATATTTCTGAGTTTCTTGATTGTCGCAGGATTTGGTTTTTGTTTTTGAAATCTCAGTGCATAGAGACCATGTATCATGTGCTATAGTCCCCAACCACTGCCATTTTTTAAGCACATTGTTTGGATGACAATTAAATAGCTCTACCAAGGAACTGAACAACCACTGGACTTACTAGGCCAAGTTTCCTGTATCCAAAGGTGATAGGTGTGTAGAGGAAGTTGAGAGCTAACCCTAATCCATACAGGCCCAACGGAAGCATTGTATTCTCATTGAATCCTCCTGGAATTTAGAGAAAAGAAAGAACTCAACAATTTATTATGATTTTAAACTATGAAAATATTAATACGGAAAATATCAGCTTGGAAATAGCTACAAAAAATAGGATCTAAATGCTCATCAAAATGTAAACAAAATTAATAAATCACAATGATTACAATAATAGTAAACAGTACCAGTAAATATTGCTTATGTAATATGTAAATTTAAAAAAATAGTTAATAAAAAATACATATAAAATTTAACTACACTACAGTAGAACAGTATTATTAAACATCAATACAAATATTATTAGGTAAAAAGAAATTATAATAGGCATAGGCTAACTTACATCTGAACCTGAAAAACTGAGGTAACCATGTAGTTAGGTTTCTACTTTTTCCATCTTTCTTTTGACTTTTTATTTTTTTTTTCTGGCAACTTTAATCCCTCTCCTTTTAATTTTTCTTTATAATTTTCTGAAAAGCACATAGAGGCTCTAGCACTATGCGCTACACAAGCACAATAAATAATAATAATTGTTAATTACTCCTCCAAATCTATACTTATAGTTAGTATCTTAATCATTTGTACGTCTGCCAGGATGTTTGCACTGCATTGTTTTTGTGAACTCACTAGCTTGCACCCCCCCCCCCACCAAGATTTGTTTTATACCAACAAAAATAAAATAAATAAATAAATGAACCTCTTCTTCACTTACCTCCTTCTTTCCAGATAAGGTAAGATGCGTAGCCTGATATTGACTGAAGCGGGATGAATGTAAGGGGAAAGATGGCACGCGGAGCCCAATGTGGCCAATTTAAACGGGATGCCCATTCTTTAACCTCCGGATTTTTCATGTAATATCCACGATTGCCGCAAATATTAGGCAGTGCAACGGCACCAGCTATACGGAGCCACTCTGATGCCATGATGATCACTTGTATTTGTTTAACGGCTAACTGCTTTCACAAGCACAGGTATTTAGGCCAGGCCTACGCCTAAAATGTCCACTTCTGTAGTGTAGTATCCAGACGGGATTATAGGCTCTGAATTCACCCTGGTCTTGCCAAGACTCTTGAGCTAGCTAGGCTTGTCGGGAGAGATATGCAGTCACGAATTATCTTCTGTCTAACCGCTGGTATTGAAAATCTTAATTAACAGCCTGACTTGACCACTATATGTTACTAATACACGTATTCAGGTATAGAATACGATAGTATTAATAATATCAACTATTTAGTATTGGTATAAAACTTATCTGTTCTAATCTGTTCTATTTTTTCACGCCCTCTTCGCGGAAGTTGGGATTGTTTTGGCTAATCTCCTTATCGCGTGACATATGAACTTTAAATCCAGGCACCTCCTTATTGTTTCTTGCATGGTCAAAGTTTTTTTCGATTTGCGTGACGACGTAACCCTACAACGGATTCACTCATCCGTGACCGTTCTGATCCAGAGACGACAACGTCACGTGATTACGTTCTACTCTGCACAGAGAGAACGAGTGGTATAATTAATAACAATATAATATATGGCTTTTTTCATTAGGCCTAATATTCTTTCGACATGGGGTATTCTTTAGACATGTCGTAGTCCACATTCCAGCAGTCAAGACAGTAGCTCTGTTTCCGAAAAATTGCTTTGAATTTGAATTTCATTCTTCTTTTCTTTTTTTTTTTTTAAAGTTTTTTTTACCTATAAGAAGACCGGAGACCCTGGTTGTATTGTAGTTAAGTGAACATAGTTAAGGTCGATCTTGAAATTCCTGGCTCCGAAACCTTGACTCTGAAATACCGGGTTGGTATCCGGCGGGGGATAGTTTTTTACCATAAATTAAATTAAATTAAATTAAGAATTGTAAAGCGCCTAGAGGGATCTGTGATCTGTTAGGCGCTATATAAATACGGTATTACTATTATTATTATTATTATTATTATACAAAGTGTAGGAGCAGGAGGTTGCTTGTAGCAATTAATTGATGATATACTGGAATGTAAGTTCAATACGATCAATTTCTTTCCTCGATCCTTTTCTAATTTTTTTCTGTTGGACAGAGACTTAAGCATGTTCTCTATTTTTCTAGCTTAGTAATGTACCTTGTTTATGGGGTTCCATACAGCTTCACCATAAAGTATAATAGGTCTTATGATTGGTTTATAAAGGATACCTTCATTAAAATAATTAATTATAAAATTGAACCACCACCAATGCTATTAACATTATCACCGGTACAGTACTTCCAGTGGCGTATCTAGGAATGAGGAGTTGATGGGTACTGGGGCGTGAGGTGAGCGTAATTTGTTATCCCCCCCCCCCTGCTCCCCTTAGATAAGCCACTGGTACATCGCGAACATTTTGTAGCAGTTCCTCTATCTCTGGCAGAGTCGTGCGCCCTCAGTAGTTAGCGCTGCATAATCAAAACATTGAAAGATATTATATTGTCGTCTGCTAAAGTTGCGAAAAAAACACTCTACCACTAAGCAAACATAGAGATATTTCAAAGCTTTAGTTAACACATTTTATAAACAAATGTACTTTCATTATTCAAAAGTATTTATTTTTGCTACAAAATATTTAATACTTTTATATTAAATTGTTTCAAAATATCGGCTGTTAAAAACCTCAGATGAACGAGACTACAATGGCTGCGCCCATGAAATATATAAGGACTGACTTTGTGAGGAAATGTGGATTAAAGTTTATAGTATATACTTATAAAGCTACATACTTTTCACTCTTATTATGTTTAAATTTACGAAATGTATGCAATCAAAATGCAAACCGCAATTTAATTTGGTACAGAAGCGATTTATCAGTAAAAGGTTTAGTAAAACAATAAACCTTCCCAACACATCTTTTGAATTATGGGGTGCTGGAAAACGAGAGACAGAAATACAAAAGGTAAGTATCTATTTGACAGTGTTATACAAATATTACTTCGTATGATTAAAGTTAGGGCTAGTTGAGTGATAGTTGTGTTGTGTTGAAAAACAATAAATTACAGTACAGAACATTTGCTGATAAAATTTATCCTGAATTGCATTTTTCAGGCATGTGGGTTTTCAGATTTGTATTCATGGCAACGGAATCAGCATACACTGGATAAAGAGTTCTGTCTCCATGATGGTCCACCTTATGCAAATGGAGATCCCCATGTCGGGCATGCTTTAAACAAGGTAAAGTTTAGATGTTATTCGTCCGTCATTCAATAATCGTGTTATGATTTTCAATTAACAATTTGAAGGTGAAAAGATTTTAGTATGATCTGAATTAAATAATATTATTATTAAGATGAAAAGAAAATTGTATTCATAATCCATTAATATTATATTAATCAATTGTTTAATTAATTAATTAATTTTTTTAAGGTTTTGAAAGATATAATCAACAGGTACAAGTTGTTACAAGGCTACAAAATCCATTACAAGCCAGGATGGGACTGCCATGGTCTTCCAATAGAACTGAAAGCTCTTGAAAAAGATTCAGCAGATTTCAAGAAACTTTCCCCTCAAAATCTACGTAGAAAAGGTGACATATCATTGAATACAAAATCACAATTACATAATGAATTCATTATTAATCTAAAATGTACCTTTCGTATATTGTATATGAAAAATGTACTACTGTAGAAAAATCCTTATCTTTTTTGTTTTTTAGCTAGAAAATATGCTGAGAATGCTATAGAAAGGCAAAGGAATGCTTTCATTCGCTGGGGAGTAATGGCAGACTGGTAGGTTTGATAAGCCATACATTTGCCAATATGAAAAATCCTAGATAATAATAGCTCTTATGTATAAACCCACCATTTTATATCGTAGAAAAACACGTTTTAAAAGATAAAACAAGATTATAAAATTTCTTAAACAGCCAATATTCTTTTTTTGTCAGGGAAAATGGCTGCTATTTCACATTCGATAGAAACTATGAAGCAAGCCAACTTCAAATATTCTATGAAATGTTTGAGAAGGTAAATAATTTAGACAAAGGGATTTAAGATTTTCCGTGTCCTTGATTCACATAAGGTCTATCAGACCAATCATAGAGGTATACTTTGACAAATCAACTTCTCAGTTGCATGCAAAATGCTTTCAATCATATATTTCTTATATTACTAGTTTTTTTTATTTTGTTATTGTTCTCTTCTCATACAGGGCCTTGTTTATAGGGATTTGAAACCAGTAAACTGGTCTCCATCCTCCAGGACTGCTCTAGCAGAGGCAGAATTAGAATACAATCCAAACCATGTGTCCCCCTCTATCTATGTTAAATTCCCCATGACAGCCATTCCAGCACCATTGCAGGGTTTAACAGGTAATTTATGCATATCTTTTTGAATAATGTTAATTATTTAATAAGTACTGCAGCTATTGGTATTTAATAAATTCAGATTAAATGTAATAATCGAAGAGCATCTGACAGTGCAAGTCATTATCAAGCTTCAAAGACTTCAAAGGAGAATGATATTTCTTGACGGTGGTGGATTAATACAATTTGGGATACAGAGGCAGCGTCAGTGAGGGGACAGGGGAAGCAATTGCCTTTTATGAAATCTTAATAAAGTGGGAAGCAATTGCCCTTAATGAAATCTTAATGAAGTATATATTGACTTGTCAAAATTTATCAGCATTAGTATAAGTTAATATGTTTTTGAATGACTTCAGGTTCGTCATCAGAGGTGAATGCTCTGATCTGGACCACTACTCCTTGGACTATTCCGGTAAACGAGGCCATTTGCTACATGCCCACCAAAGACTATGCTCTGGTGAGATGCAAGCGTTCCAGGGATGCTTATATCATTGCATCTGGCAGGCTGACGGATATATCACAAATACTCGGCAGAGAATTTCAACTGTTACATACATTTAATGGTATTGTTTTTCTTGCCATGATAGCAATGATAATGATAGATAAATAGGATGATGATGATGATAATGATAATGATAATGATGATGTTGATGACAATATGATAGACATAATTGTGTTGAGTACAGTTAAAAGTCCTTGAGTTGGTAATGTCACCCGTCTCACTCCAGTTCCATGGACTCTGGATTTGTTATGCTAAATTCTGACATTTTTTTTTTAAATTGTAGGCTCAGCTCTAGAAGGCTGCCAATACACTCATCCATTGAACCCTGGAAAAAGATCACCCTTTCTTGCTGCGAGTCATGTGAAGATGAGTGTTGGTACAGGTCTTGTTCACACGGCACCGGCACATGGCCCTGAGGATTATGGGATTGGAATACAATATGATCTACCAGTGGTGAGCAAAGCAAACTAATGCCACACAAAACAACAACATTTATAGAGAACCCGAGTATAAATGTTTGCATACTTAATACTGATATAAATAGATTAATACAAATAATAGAGTTTGATTTAAGGATTTAAAATTAATTTTTCTCATTTTAGAAATCACTCGTTGATGAAGATGGGAAATTTTTGGATGAAGCTGGGGAACAGTTTGCAGGGAAAAATGTTTTAAAAGATGCAAATAAGACAGGTGAATATTTGAACATTGTGTCCGCTTATCTGTCTGTCTATGTATCTGCTTGTCTGTGTATCTATGTATCTGGCTGTATGATTCTTGCCTTATCTATTAATTGATATACTTATTGGCATTTCCCCTCAGCAATTGGCCTGCTAGAGGCTGTTGGATCATTGGCCCACCAAGAGAGTTATGAACACAGCTACCCCTATGACTGGAGGACCAAGAAACCTATCATTATCAGAGCCAGTAATCAGTGGTTCATTGACACAGCATCCATAAGGGACAGATCTATGGTAAATAATTCAAGACAAATAAAGAATATGTTGCGAACATAGGTTTTTAAGGTTTATCAGTTTAACGTATATTGTTGCTTAGCTGTGGGGCACTCAGTTGTATTAACAATTTGGGTAGCGTTGATCAGTAATTAAGGGGTGTCCTGAGGTGTTATGATGTCACGTCAGCAACATTGTACTGTACTGTATAGTTTTCTACTCATTTTGTTTGATGACTAATAGAACTGCTTGATATTATCCTTGTTTCCATAGCAATGTGTTGATGAAGTGAATATTTTACCAAATCACGGCAACAACAGCATGAAAGCACAGCTTGCTGGTCGCACGTTCTGGTGCATATCGCGGCAGAGGGTATGGGGTGTACCGATCCCGGTGTTTTACGATGAAGTTGATGATCAACCACTTCTTACACGGTGTGTAGAATTTGTTGTTGTTTAATACAGTAGCACCAGGTCATAGTTCGAAAATGAGGACATTGACAAATGCAGTAGCCATAAGCAGTATTTTGTGAAACTGGCTGTAAGTTGGTCTGGCTGCCATGAAGTAGAACAGTAAAAGATATGATAAACGTTTACATGCCAAGTGACTGTTGAAATGTTGAAGATTTTGTTCTTTTTGTTTCACTTCTTAAGAGATTCCGTGAATCATGTTGTCGGTTTGATAAAAGAACATGGATCAGATTGTTGGTGGGACAAGCCGATGAATGATCTACTTCCAAAATCAGTCATTGAAAAGGTAACACTAAGCATTGTTACTCATGTATATTTTATTGCATTAAAATACTAGGACCATGTAATATACTTATGTTTTTGGATGATCAAAACAGAACTAATATTCATATGGTGCCATATAATGTATTATATAATAGGCATAAACCTCTAGCATTATTCTATTTGACTGACATAAATTTAGAGTGGACTTGATCCCAGCAGACAGTTCATCAAAGGTGAAGATATTCTGGACATATGGTTTGATAGTGGTACTTCATGGAAACATGTACTACAAGGACATCAAGCTGATCTTTATATGGAAGGGGAGGACCAATACGGGGCGTGGTTTCAAACATCCCTCCTCACCAGCGTAGCTGTCAATAACAGAGCTCCTTATAAGTAAGATGCTTTTCAGTGGCGTAATGAAGGGGCTGGGGACCGGAGCCCGCAAAGGATTCCCCGGTGGGGATCTGCTGGGGCGCGAGGCTACCAACCACTCCGGCGTTTTAAGCACACTACGACATATTTTAATGCCTTTTTACACATTCGAATTCTAAGTTTATGTTCCATGATTTGACCCATAAAAAGCATACTTAATGTTAACTAAGGTATCACTAAAAAACATTTTACAATAAATACCACAGACTTTAGCTTGGAAAAGCGCCTCGGTTATTTGTATGTAAAAAAAATTTGAATTTGCTGGGGGGCTCCTTGAGGGTCCGGGGCCCCTGGCTTTAGCCAGTGAGAGCTCATAGCCATTACGCCACTGATGCTTTTATGTTACTACAGTACTTAGTTTTTATAAGCATGCATATATGAAGTTGATCAGTACTGGTTTCAGTAAGTTCCATAACATCTTAAATTTGGTTATCTTTGTCGCTGTAGGAATATACTAGTTCATGGTTTTACGCTAGATGGAGAAGGACGGAAGATGTCTAAATCCTTAGGGAATGTGATTGATCCCAATGTTATAATACATGGTGGAAAGGTAAGTAGCTTCCCACAGTATTATGTACAGTTTACAACCATATATTACTATAACTTTTCATTCTACATCCTGATTGGGCAGTACCACTAGTGTCACATCCAATCACAGGGCATAGAGCTGAGGATGTTTACATTTTAAATAAAGATGAATGCAGGTTTAAAGCAAACATCTCATAAGCAACTTTTTTTAACTTCTCAAAAGTCATTTTGTTATTTTTATAGAACAAGAAAAAAGAGCCAGCGTATGGTGCGGATGTTCTACGATGGCGTATAGCCGAGTGCAGTTGGATGACCAGGGTTCATGTCAGTCCAGACCTGTTTGCGATGGCCAATCAAAACTTGCTAAAAGTATGTAGTCAAGTATCAGCCATAGGGACATTTTATGAGCAACTACCCTTAAAATAACAATATGTGAATATGTGAATACTTTTTTTCTTTCTTGATAGGTACGTAATACTATGAGATATTTCCTAGGTAACCTGTACGACTTTGATCCGTCCCATGATGCATTGCCATATGAGGCACTTTATCCAATTGAAAAGTATATGTTGCACCTAATATTTGAGTATGGAAAGAAGGTAAGGTTATATCATAATTAATAACAATTTTTATCTAATTAAATTGAGATTGAACCTTAAGATTGGAAATGTAGCTTGGTTGTTAAGATAATGTTCTTTGCAAATCCAGGATTTTGAGTCACAACATAAACTACTCTACTCACTAAACTTACAATGAAAGCATTTCATAGTTTATTTCAATTGTGTGATGTAAATATAAGATAATGAAAGCGCAATAACATTTGTTGGGAAATTTACCTCACTTGTGGCATACTTTTGTTATCATTATTTTTATTATCATTAGTATCTTCATCATCATTGTTATTATTAGTAGATAGTAGTCGTAGTGACAGTAGTACCACTAGTAGTACAAGTACTAAATTATTATAAATTAAATTTTAGGTTGTTGAGGCTTATGAGAAATATGACTTCAGTGAAGTGACTTCACTCACTGCAGCACTCATCCATAATAATATATCAGCATTCTATCTAGAGACGATGAAAGACAGGTCAGTATCACAATACCGTAAACTCTCAAATTGAAGCCCTGTGCTTCTTTTTTTCCGAACTTTGGACTTCTTTTTGAGGCTAGTTTTGCAGAGTAAAGAGGGCAGTGGGGGGGGGGGCCTCTTTTCCAAATGAATGGTGTAAATTTTGGGAATTACTACTATAAAACAATTAATAGGGCCACTGTAATGATGGGCTTCTTCTCGAGATTAAGCCTTTGGGCTTCAATTTGAGGTTTTAAGGTATACTTGTTATGGAACTCACATATGAAGAAAAGGTTATATTTATTGTATATTGTTATTTTCCATATCGCTATATAAAGAAAATGAGATAATTAATAATGTATCATGCTGTTTATGTTATGGAATGTTGCCAAATAGAATGTTGTAAATGTTACAAGTTTACTAAAACTCAACCTCTTGCATTACTATTTGCATGTTGTATTACCTGTAATAAAAACCTGTTCGATGTAACAGCAATTTTACAAAAATAGGCCATGGAGATCAAGTAAATATAAATAAATATTATATTGTCCATGTTTATCAAAATTCTTTTGGAAGATTGTACTGTGAAGCAGCAAATAGTCATGCTAGGCGGTCATGTCAGACATGTTTACATCACATGATGGAGGTCATCACCAAGGCGATTGCTCCTATAACCCCGCATCTGGCAGAAGAAGTGTTCCTTCACAGGGCTCATAGTTCTGATGGTTGGTAGTGCATTTTAATATTTTGATTTTTTTAGTATTCAACAGATGACAAATTGCATTTTGTAAAAGCTAACAAGAAGAAACAGAGAACTTTCGTAGAACATTTCAACATATACTTTACAAGATATATGTATACATTATCCCTACACTGATTGTATTTGATAAGCATTTATGATAGAGGTAATACTAGCCTTTACAAAACGAAATTTGTCATCTGCAGTATATTTGTATAACCAAACAAAATTGAGAGTAGTTGTCATAATGTGTGTGACAAAAACAATAACAATTCTAAATGATTAAGATTTCATATATTATATTTTATGTTAATTATTTTAGAATATGTAACTATTACATTATCAATTTATATACTTAGAGAAGCATGGAGTATTTAAATCAGGATGGTTTGTGCTGGATTCTGATTGGTTCAGAGCTTCAATAAATCAAGATTGGGAGGTGCTATGCAAATTAAGGGAGATGTTCCACTCTGCTATCTTTGCCCCTAAAAGCAGGGAGTACGATGTCACAATACATACAAATAATCAGGAACTTTGGAAATTATTAGAGGTAAGTCAGTTGGTCAATCAATTTAAAAAGGGATTCAGCCTACCATATGCTTATACTAATATATGACATGAAAAATGGAACAATCTCATTTTTAATTAAGTTTTTATATTTTCTTTTCCTGCAGAATTTACAAGATGTTGATACATCAATGACATCACATATATGTGAGCTGCTTATGTCTTCCACTGTCAATCTATGTAAAGATGCTCCATCAACTAATATACAAGACTTATCTACCAAACTAGTCCAGGAAAAGATTCATATTTCAAATAATGGTATGACCTATTTTTATACAAGCAATTTAAAGTGAAAATTGATACTAATTATTACAAAAATAATGCAATTTTTATTTTGATTTAAATTTAGTAACTGTTTATTATCCTGATGTATTCCATGGTAAAAAGAATTGAGTGGGAAATTGGTAAACTTTAGATTGAAGTTTTTTTTTTAATGTAAATATAATGTGTAATGTAAAGATAAATGAGAATGCATTCAATTTGTTCCCAATAATTCAATATAGATTTTTCCATCATCATTACAGAAGATGCCACGGTTACTCTCCTCATCCAATCAGCTGAGCATAATAAATGTGCAAGGTGTCGGAAATACACTTCAGATGAACCCAACCAACCCTGTGGGAGATGCATCGATGCAATGTCTGATGGATGGGAATGAGACTGCTGTATCCAATCTATTGTATATAATGGGAATAAGTCTGATGCATCCAAGCTAATAAGCTGTAGAAAATGAATGGGGATGAGTCTGATGCATCCAAGCTATGGAAAATGAATGGGAATAAGTCTGATGCATCCCAGCTAATAAGCTATGGAAAATGAATAGGAATAAGTCTGATGCATCCAAGCTAATAAGCTATGGAAAATGAATGGGGATAAGATTGATGCATCCAAGCAATGGAAAATGAATGGGAATATGTCTCATGTATCCAAGTATTGGTGCATGGATGGGATTAAGACTGATGTATCAAGCCATCATAGATAGATGGGTGCAAGACTGATGAATCTAACAATAAGATTATGACCTACCAGTATATATCCAAACTGTGGTAGATCAGTGTGAACGATGGATTACCAAAGTCATTTTAGATGATGTTAACTATAAAGCACTGAGGCATTTAGCATATGTACTTTATCAAGTTGAAATTACCCTTTTATTATTGCAAAGTCATGGTTAGAAATGGGAAGTAGTCTTATGCTCTGGTATATGTATGGGAATGTAAAAAAAAATAATAGAAGTGATGATACTAAGATGGTAGATTAAATCAGAAAGTACACAAGATTTTATGATTAAAATGTGGCAAAAACAAGCCAAACCAGTCACTCGTTATTAATACAGGGTTAAACAATAAAATGAGAGCTATAAAATGGTAAAAGAATCATTTAAATCCGAAATTTTGTTATGAAATTACAGGAGTTTAAACATACAGCTGTTAAAGAAACAATATTTTAGAAATCAGCCAGAATTTATGATTTTGGGCATTTCTCAGGCAGAAACCATCACCAAATCGTTAAAAAATTATGTTTATTGAAAACGGGGAAAATAACAGTATAGCATGATATAGGTTAGTTTAGTGCAATAAAATAGATTTCAAATATTTTGACATTTCAGCATGTTTTGGCCATTATCTTTTAAACTGTCTGTGCGATGAGTGACTGGTTTGCCATGTCTTTGCCACAGGTTATTTCCTAGATAATATTCTTTCAATTTACATTTAAATTTAACAGCCAAGGGATTTGGAAAAGAATTAATTCTCTATGAGGCTTAAGAAGGGGAGTTTAAAGTTATCCATATATAATCAAAAGTTATTTGCTTAAAAAAGAGTTTTTGTAAAGAAGGATAATAAACACAAAAATAAAATTACTTTTGTTTTATTGCAGTTATTTCCCCAATAACGCAAAATCAATTTTGTGTTCAAATTTGTGACTAAAAAAACAAATTTCACTAATAAATATGATAATAAATATTAACCCTTATAAAAAAAACATAACATTATTAAGACTTATTTTACATTCAGTCAAAAATTATATTATAAAACACAAATATTATTGCTGTTAAACTTTACAGATACCTAATATTTTAATTACATGGATCAAAAGAATATTAAAATAGTACTGTACTGTACATTCAACAGAATGTTGACAACACTGAACTGGTCAACATGGCAGAGGAAAATCCAGCATCCTGATTTTACATAGGCCTAAGGCCTACAAAGAATTTAATGTGGAATAGTTGGTTTATAGAACTCTTATTGTGAGTATCAGGGCCTCTTGATGTACAGTGTTAATGAAAAGAAATAAATGGTATTTACTGTGTATTAATTATTGAAACTACCTTTTTAAAGGTTTTTATACTTTGTTGTCATTTCATTTAGGTATAGGCCTCCTTTGCAATAATAATTGCATGTTTAAATACCATTTTTGGTGGAGTAGGTGTCCTGCAGGTTATTGATGTTTTGGTTTATTGCATTCTCGTTCAAAATAACTGATATACAGTACTACTGTATGTTGAATATTCAGTGTCACATTGTCTGCAATTTGTATTGGTAGACCATGCCTAGCAGAAAGTTACTGTAACAGAGTATAGCATTCAAATTTTTTGAAATTATTTCATATACAATCAATCACCCACAACCAGGTTCACATACTGTAGAACCATAACATCTGAGGGGGTTTACTCTACCAGTAAGAAAAGCAAGTATGGTACTGTTTCAATTCTAAAGAGCAATTAGAAAGAAAAAATAAAGTTAAATTACAAGAAACAGTACATTAGACAATGAACTGTCCAGCAATATCCGCATAATAAGCCCTCTTGATGTACTCGTGAGTGTATTAGGAGTCGCATCAAGAAATAACCATATTTTATACTATTTTCTTTAAATTTATAAAGCGTTAACACCATCAAATTGAAAATTTGCCTAGCTTTAAAATTACTTCATTCTCCGAGATAACATCCCCTTACATGTCCCCATGTTAAACCCCTGCATTAGCCTTAACAGTTGTTGATCCAATCTTCATTAATTGTTTATCACAAATCCTTACATAGTTATATGCATTTGATACTTAACTAAAAGATGACTTAAATAAAACAACATACGGTAACCTCAATTAAGCTGTCATCACCTAGGACGTCCAAAAGCAACAATGTTTTCTTTTGCAGTTCTCGCTTTGAACAAGAGAGGGGGAGATGGATCTTGTAGACGTTTCTTTTTGCCATGTCGTCTACTCTTTGCCGATGGAATGTCATCTGCTTCCTGTGGAACAGGGATTGGTTTCCATGGGATTGGGTTACAGTAACTAGGCAATGGATATGCAGCATAATCATAATAGCCTGCCAGAAGAAAATAATTAAATACATTTTAAATGAAATAATTTTTCTTTTAATTGGATACTCAATTAAAAAATTTATTATGCTTTCAAGTTATAATAATCCACTTATTTGTGTAGTAGTTGCACAATATGTTTGAATCTGTATTACAACCAATCATGATGATGTTTTCATTTTCAACAGGCAAAAGAGGATAGATGCAAGCTGACAAAAAGAGTTTTAAAGATTGTTTTTAAATAGTTGACTGTATCTAACCTTTCAATGTTCCTTCACTGTAAGCATATGAGTTCTTTACTTTACGTGGTTTTTGTATTGAATTTTTATACCATTCTTCATATATTGCTTGCGCTTTTTCTTTCCTTTCAATCTCTTCCCTCGTTTTCTTTTCTTTTTCTTCTTTTTCCTTCATAGCTTTCAGTCTCTGTTCCTCCTTTTTCTTAGCTAGCCATTCTTCTCTGCAAGCCTATAAAATATTAAATAAATGCTGATATTGTATGTGTGGGTATGTTTACGTGGAGTGAATTTCTGAGCAGGCAAAATATATTTATTTTAGTAAAGTACAGTTGGAAATTGTAATAATTATACCTTTTCCTTTTCTTCTGTCCGTCTCTTTTCTTCCTCTTTCATTTCTTGTTTCATTTTTTCTTCCCTGATTTTAACCCTCCTCCTGTACTTATCTTGTGTATTATGTTCTAAGACCCATGCTTCTATTCTCTGTTCTATCATCTTTTGTCTTTCTTTCTTTTCATTCTCCTGTTCCTGTTTCTGTCTTTTAGCTTCTTCTTCCTTTTTTATTTGTTTCTTTATTGCCTTCCTTTCTTCTTTAATTTTCTTCACTAACCATTTCTCAAAGACATTTAGTTTGCTGTCTAGCTCCTCAGCAACATTATCTGGAGATGCAGTGAGTGATCGCACTTTACTGTCAGTCCTGAATGAACTATTTGATGATTGGCTTTAAATAAAAGGATCATGTTATTTGACATAGGTGCACCTAAAACTTATTGGTGTTGATAAATAGTTAACAATAATATAATTACTGTATTATGTGTATTTTCTCTCCAAGAAATGTTAAAAAATCAAAATTTAAAGGCAACGAAGCAAATGGTAAAGGAAGACAAGATGAGGAGGAACAAAGTTTATAAAAATATTATATATTACAGATAAAAGTATTCTTGTAAATTGATGTACAATACTGTACAGTACCTTTTTATTTCATCACGTCTGTCATCGTTTTTGTCGTGTTCTACCTTGTCGGAAATTTCATGTTCTGATATGCTTTCCACACTGCTATGGGACAAGACCGACAACAGTGACCGCGTGGAATCACCAGTAGAATTAAATGAATAGGATTCATCCAGACAGCTTCCTGATTTCCGCTGTGTATTTGAATCTTCTACTGACCTTTTAGGTGTGGAGTGTGGTCTTTTTGCTAGTTCACTATCCATTTCTGTTAATCAAAAGGTAAGTCATTTTGTCAATTAATAATTAGACCTAATAGTAATAGGCTTTCCTACACAAATAATTTGAAAATTAGGCTACAGATATTTTAGAGATGGGAACAGAATTACAGATATACCAGGGAGTTATATACTAATACTACATAATAAAACTGGCTAAATTATACCAGGTCATTCAACTAAAACGTAATTAATGTCCGTTTGCTAAAGAGCACAACAGCTTCAATAACCGTTACGCCTACCACGGCACTCACACCCGAGCTTTACACACTCGTTAGCGCGGTCCGTGATCGTCAAATCAACTCCACCCAAGCCTAGGCTAGACCTATTTATATTAATATTATTACCTAGCTAGGCACACCCTCTGGTATTTATTAATACATATATTAACTTTAAAAAAGTATATTCATTAAAAAACGGACACATACCACCACTCGCAAAGGTAATGTTTTACTCTTAGTAGCAAAGTATCAACAACAAGAGAGACTTACCATCATTCTCAAATTCAAAACATCCACGGAAAAATAGCTTGCTTTTTGTTTTGATTCATAGGTGGCGCTGTTAAGATTTCGGAGGTGTGTGGGGTGGGGACATCGTTTCATTCTGACTACTGTACTGAATTACACTTTTAGTGGTGAAAGAAGCATTAACTTCTGAAGTGAATAGGTATTAGGTAACATATGTCTACTTATTTATGTTGCACTGGTACATAGCCGTCTGTCGGCGATTGAGCACCCTTGTCAATATGTAAGGCCTGGACGAGTCAGCAAATCAGCAAATTAAATAAGTAGAAGTATATTATAATAATAATATTATAATGTATGTGTATACTGTACATTATAGTTTTTGTTTTTACTATACCTATATGACTTGAAAAAGCGTACGCCCGAAAGATCTTTATTTCGTCTTTATTTTCTCACATAAATTTTTAGGCTAATCTACTACCACCTACGTGTTTTATGTTTTATTTACAATCCCATGGTACGCCTCTTGAGGCGCACCATTGTGTAATACGATGTTCCCGACGGTTATTTGGATATATATATATATATATATATATATATAATATAATATAACGGTAATTTGTATTACAGATTGATAAAGTAAATTTAAAATAAAGCTTAAGAATAAACTTCGTACGTAAATTACGTACGAAGTTCAATACAGACATCTTGTAAACTATATCCAAAGCGTGGTTTTTCAATGAGATGAGAGAACCGTATCATGTCGGCCGCTATGATGTCAAGACAAATCTATTTTGATGGATCAGTTTTTGCGTACTCATCGCGTGTTGGTCAGACCCTTCATGTTCGGTTGGAACTTTGGCTCCATTACGGCACCAATCATGTAAGCTTACCAGGCAGACGACGAACATCATTTTCTTTTGTGCCAAGAATGTGTCTCTGATCATATAAATGGGAAATGGAAAATAGATAATGATGTACCGACTTCTTACCAGCTTACATATGACACGAACTAGATATGTAGGCCTATCTCTATGATGGACATGAGCTATAATTATTCTTGATGTTCAAAATATTTACTTTTTATAGAAAAGTTACTTTGTCAGATCAGACTATTGACTCCTTTCGCATGTTTTACATATTACTTAGGTCCCGGACAAAAAAAAAAAATTAGACAAAATGCCTATTTATCCGTCCAGTCCATCATTATTTATTAATTTTTCAATTAAAAGGTAAAGTAGACACGATATCATGTTAATTGCTGTGAAAGGAATGTGGCCATGTTGATTTAAGTGATGGAGGACGACGATGAGGATGAATATGATCATGTTATTGATTATGATAGGCCTATATGATGATGATGATGATGATGGTGGTGGTGGTGGTGGTTACGATGATGATGAATTTGATGATAGCGTTTAGTTTAGTTTAGTTTTTATTTGGAATCACTTTTGTTACAGTGGCCCACATCACCATTGATGGTGCATCCAAGAACATTAAAGCAATCGGAAGTCAAATTCAACTACTGTTTACATGAAACAAACTCCTTAACTACAATGAATTAAACTAATAAAAAATACAAAGAAACTGACAATTTATAGTAATAAAGTAAAGGGGGTAATTACATACTTACTATTTTATAAATGTCAGATCTTTATTTCCAGGCAAGCATAATGTATTCTTTGCAATAAGTCAAAAATGAAGCCGTGAATAAAAATTTAATTTTCCATTCGAGAACGTATTTAAATTATTGTTGCGCAATTCTCTTTCTAATTCGTAAAAGATCATATCTCTGATTGCATAATTACCAACCTGAGAGATTTGAAATGCGTGAGTGACTAAACCAGTTGGCTGGAGAAGATGATGGGGTGCAGGGTTATTATACACATCTAGATGTGTATAAGAGACAGGGCCTGCGGCGCTCCGACAATCTATGCATTTTAAACTCTTTCAAAAAATTTTCAGGGAGTGTTTATTGACAATACAGGTACATCAGCAAAAACATTTTTAATAAAGCCACGTACAATTTGAGTTTCAAGGTACGTAGAGGCTACGTAATTTGAGCACCCCAACTATGTAGACACAAATATTTACTTTTCAAAGTGACCTTTGACCCATATCAATTGACTTTTAATACACTGTAACGCTATAACATGTGACAATGGTGATATTGGCGGCTCTTTTGACTGTTTTAGTTCCAATTTCGCTATCATTATGGGCGTTTACAATTTTGTCATTCACATATTTTGGAGATAGTAGTAAGTAGAATAGGAAGTTTGTCTGTATTATATTAATAATATTATTTTATGAGCTAGCTAGGGCCTAGGCCTAATAGGCCTAGACTAGCTAACTTGTTTGTATTTTGCAATGGGTCCGGGAACATTTTGTACGGCAGTCTGCAGCAGTGCGGACGACTCTGATAAGTGATTAAATGTATAAGGCCTGAAAATACAAATACAGGTCTCCCTTCAATGAAATACCCCTTCCAATTTTAAGGACCTTCTCCAATTAGAGACCACTATTCAAATTTCTTTTATCTTTATTATTCTAATGAGAAACCAAAGCAAGGGAAACCTAATAATACCTGTATTTGATTTGATCGTTTACCCTCCATTAAAGATTTGGTAAAAATAAAAATTGCATTTGGAATAAAATAGATCTTGAATATAATTCAGCCAAATACCAGGGAGGTAAAATAATACCTCCCTGGACCCTGCCAAATTCATTGGCATTATTTTGGTGGATTCATAAAGAAATGATTTCTGAAACAGGCACAGATTCTGTTTTGCCTTTGGTATCTAGGCCTAGGCCCTAGGCCTATTTCATTAATGATTGGCAATTTTGACAGTTTAAAATATGTCCCTTAATTTCCACCACTGATACTTACCTTTGTCGAGCAGCACGTGCATGTATTCTCTCCTAGCCAAATCCAATGCATTTCTGCAAAATTCTGCATAAGCCTAGGCCAACTGTATAAATAACTAGCTAAATCATAAGATACAGCCAAGTTTTAGGCCAACCTAGCCAGACCCATATCATCATACTTTAATGAGGTGATATTTGGCATTAATTGAATGAATAAACATGTTGTGATTTATGCAGGTGGATTTCGTCCTATCTCACCATGGAAATGGTTGTTTTCTATTTTGATTCCGTTGTACATGGCAAGTGGAGGCTTGAGGAGAAAGAGTGTAAACCAAAGTGGTGCTGTAGTTGGTAAGTCACTCAACATGGAAGGGAGCAATAGATTTGTAGCTGCTGAGCTGAGTACAATGTTAAAACCATGTTGGTAGCAGGATACATCACTTAAACAGAGGCTCAATGAGGAAGAATGCTGTTCAAAAGTGGTATCAAAGGGGTGGGTTGGGATTTGTGTGAGGTATATAATGTAGTCATGTGAGGCATGTTGTGGCTAAGTTGTAGCAAAAATTTAAATTCAAGTTATTGGTATTTTCAGATACTGAGTATATGATCTTTAAAATGAGGGGTCATTCATTCAAATTGGACATTTCAAGCCTAAGTTATTGGAAAGTGAATGTACAGTACTTTTAAAGTCAAGATAAACAGGATTTTGAGTAATTGCCTTTCAAAGTTATTTGTGCATACATTGTTTAATAGCATGAACTATGGAAAATAACGTTAAATAAACAATTTGTTAACCACTTCCAGAACTAATACTTTGGCATATGATTAATAAGACATTAAACTGTTAATCTGTAGTGAAAAACAAATTTGAATTTTTCGGCAATTTTTTGAGCTCCCATATTTTATAGCTCATTTTACTCAATACTGGACTGTGCGACAACTTAACCATTTTGCCACAACATGCCTCATGTGTTTAATGGTTTGCTTGTCTCTTCCTTAGCTACCTTATTACTGCTATATATTGCTTAAAGCTTGGATTTAGCATACAGTTGCTAATTAGCATAACAGGTAGAATAATTATATTTATTAAGTTGATTTGCATAATATATTTACTGCAATACAGTAATAACATTAACCATAAAAATAGTATGTTGGCCTTGTCAATGCTTCTATGCAGCGCTTCACATTACAGTATATTACAACAGTCATTGGATCAAACACCTGTGGACACATACTAAGCCACCTGTGATACCATTGTTGCAGCATAGCCGGAGTGAACCCACCTGTGTATAGACAGAGAACATGGATAAAAATGCTTTGCCTGGACAAAAACGAGCATTCATACTAGAAACATGGATTATTTGATTGCAAACTTACAGTTTTGTAGCTCAGCCACATCCTTCCAAAATAAATATCTATTAATCAAATAATAACTTTCTTGTTTTTTTCAAAGGTTTTCTAATTGGCTTCATATTGATACTATCAAACTACTCTTTTTTTTGTGCACTCGCCGCTTTTTTCATTGTGAGTTCGAAAGCTACAAAATACAGAGCTGGAATGAAGAAATCTATATTTGAAGGTGTAGAAGAAAATACAGGTAAAGTAATATGAACTCCATTAATCCACACCTGTGTACAGTCGGGGGCACCAGAGATTCCCAGATGAGCATCCAGGGTTTCCTTACATGGGCCTCCACTGGCACCGCAACACCTGGGTAACAATCTGCAGTTACTCTACAAATTATACCATTCTCAAATTTGTTAATTCATGAAATATGCACTATGCTTATGTCAGATCAAATGGGGCTTGCCTATTGTTTAGGGGTTTTTTTTAGTTTACTTTTTCTGACTAATTCAGTAACTAAATCATATTACAGACCATTATACTTGCACTTTTAATCTGCATTCGCTTTTTAATTTCAACAGTATATATTTCTTGGTTCCACCTTTCAAATTTATATGATTATCCATTTATTGTTATATTACGCAGAGGGAAAACGTAACTGGATCCAGGTTATAGCAAATGGCGGTATCGCAACATATTTCAGTCTCCTGTACACAATCAGCACAGGATTCCAAGAACGTATTTTAAATTTTAGCAATGATTACAATGCCACATGGTTATCAATGGCTGTTATGTCAGCAATCGCTTGTTGCAGTGGCGATACATTAGCCTCTGAGATTGGTAGTGTTCTAGGCCCACCTCAACCGGTCCTTATCACGACATGGTCAAAGGTTCCTAAAGGTAAGTAGGCATATTGTTGCTAAATTCCAGATCATATTTCCTGATATTTATATCTAATCAAATAGTATATTGAGTTGGCTTTATGTTGCAAATTTCTGACTACCTTAAGTTCATATATTTTCTGTTATTTTTAAATACTATCTTTGTTCATTGAATTGTTTCTTGTTTGCCTTTGTGAAAATCTCATTCTTTGCACTGAATTAACATAATCCTAGTTGAAGATTTTTTTTTTCTTCAGGAACTAATGGTGCCATCTCTCTGGTAGGCCTTGTAGCTAGTTTGTTTGGTGGGTTGGTGGTGGGCCTAGCTTTCTATGCAGGCTTATTTCTATCATTGACACTGCCAAGTCAAACTGATATACCACCACAATGGCCTGTTATCTTCTTTGGAGCTGTTGCTGGCCTGTTAGGTTCACTTATCGACTCCCTCCTTGGTGCTACTCTACAATACTCAGGTATTTTATTATTTATTATTAACAAAGTAATAACATTCTAGTATTTTATTAGAATTTTATACTATCTTTACATAAATATTTTTGCTACGTTTTAAAAATTTACATATTATTGTATACTTATTACTTTCATTTTATGTACATTTTTGCATTGTTTTCAGAGTGCCACATTGAGTGTTTACTGTTTGAATATACCTTTATTTTAATTCTTGATATGTATTCAATATTCACTATTTTATTCAACTAACCTGTATGATATTCATGATATGAAAAGAGCGCCCTCTACTGATCAGTCTCATTAGGGAAGACTATTCAGCATTTTTAACTTTCACTATTGATGCCTTATGTAGTGAATTTTAACACTAAACCATCTCGTGAATCACACTATCCTTGCCCATTTTAATATTAGTTATTAATGTATTTTCTTCATCATAATCTACCCTTTACAGATATATAAGAATATTATCACAGTATGTTTATGCTTTTAATCTTCGTTAAAGAAATATCTTTTTGTCATTTTGATGATGTTAAATGCATATGGTCAGTGCCAGTCCCTACTCACCCCTCCATCCCCCTAGGTGAGCATTCCCCAGGGCATGGGTCATCCGGTTGAATGCGTCAAGTAGAGGTGAAGCACAGGTCGCATGGACTCTTGTCATGTACACAGAAAAACAGGATTACCCACCGGGCAATGAGTCACAGCGATGGGTCACTCACAAAAACTGGTATCAGCATTTGGTGAATTTCCGTGAAACGTGATTAGATTGTTCTAGTCATTTCGATTTCAGTACCTGACTAAAGAAAAGGAGCATTGGGATATGTTACTTGATTGTCGTAGCTAATTGTAATCATTGAAACTGATTTAATAAGCACTTCTCCCAAATAAGCACCGCTCTTATATATGTGTTGCACCAAACATTAATTTTTTCGCTAAATGCAGTGCTTATTAAAGATATATTTTATTTTCAATAAATGTTGTGTGGTTTTAAAATGTGTGTACTTTTTAAAATTATTATTAGTATATATTACAACTGATTTATAAGACAGTAAGCGGTGTTTATATGATGGCCAATTGTCTTTCAATAAAAGATGGCTAACAATTAATAATAATAATAATAATAATAATAATAATAATGTTAATATCACAAACTCTACTGTACATTATGTAAGTTGGATAGGCCTTTGTACAAAGCATGATACCATTTTAACATGTGGCAATCTTGAATAACTGCCTCTTTAGAATAATTGTCTGTCTCTTCTAAGCAACATACTGCTGCTTCTTAGTCCTCTACGGTCATAGGCCGACGCGATTCTATGTAGAACGCAACAACACAATGCGCGCACAACGGATTGTATTTAATGATCATCCGTTGCGACTGCCACCGACAATCAGCAGACAGCGTCGCGTAGTCTAGCGCTCACAGGGAGCGAAGTTGGGGTCGTCAAACGACGATCGTACGACCATTGGACAATGCATTGAGCGGCCAACTTAAGGTAGCTTTTAATTTACTTTTCAGTGTTTATAGTATTTGTAGTTTTATTTATATAGCACTTTGTACTTAACAACTATGCTTATTACTTTATAATAAAATATCCTCATGTTGTTTCTGTATAAAAAACCTTTCTGTTTGTATGTTTGAAGCCAATTGGAAATGAGCTGGACAAGTACCTATTTAATGTTGGCTTTCTAAATGTCATATCTGTTTACCCAGATAAATTATGTAAATTTATGATCTTTGAGGTTTAGTTTTATTTTTTTATTTGCTAACATTTTACATGTGAAGGACCAATTTGAATTTACTCATCAGTGATAATTTTTGTTTCAAGGACTTATTAATTTAAATTTGTGAATATTAAATGTTTTTATCTTTGTTTATCATTCCCACACCCAAGTGAGTAAGCCACCTATCATAGGATGTGAAAATAATCTTGATTATAATTTTATTACTTGTATCTCAAGGATGAATGCTAATATAAATTATGAATCAAAATTTATTCACAAGCTTTGTTAATCTTTAGAGATCAGTTGGGAGTTTTTTTCAATACAGTATTAAAATGAAGATGAATGGTCATTCCACTAATTGGTTTACAAATCTTAGAAACTTGGGAGAGGGGTACATTTTTGTCATTTACCCCCTCCCACCTGCACTCACATGACCCCTAATTCAATATCACATGTTTTTTGCAATGTTTGAGTGACTCACAGTATTGTAGTCATCGCATTCTTGCCTTGTCATAATTGCCAACATACTTTACTTTGTGTACGTACGTGTACTTCTGTTAATTTTCATTGATCAGCAACATGTTTTTCCATAGAATCGCATGTGCTTACTACGTATGATAAAATTAGGTACTGTATGCATGTGTATTCACCACATATAGTTAGTTATAGTGTTTACCTGATTGACAATCAGGTACAGGATACAAGACTGGCTTTATGATAATTATGCAGATTTATTACCATTTCATTACTCACTGGTATAATTTTGTCAGTAATAATTATTTTTTTAGTAATGTACAGTGGTATAATTATTGGTGTAATTGATATTATCATAAATTATGTAATATATCATTGATGACGTAAATTTTTTGGAAGTTTTCAATGATGATGTCATTATTATAAATTATGCCAGAAATTATCAGTGATGTTTGTCACTTTTGATATTGTTTTTAATGTTGTCATTGTTATAAATGATGATATATACTGCATGTGTACAAAATATTTAAATATGATAATATAATATATTGTCATTTGAACAGATTAAAACAATAAGAACAGCAGAGTTTATTTACCATCCATAAATAAAAATCATTAAACTTAAATTTATTTTGATCATTATCTTCACTTTTTTTTTCAATTTAAATCATAAACCCACTTGCATACTGTGCAAAGTAAACAACTGCATGAATTATGTAAACTTTGTATTTGCTCATTTCCATAAGTGATGGAATAAGTCTTGCATTATTGTAAGGCTATTTCCACTTATCTCTAATTTCAACATTAACCTTTTGACCCTTATTATCATGGATTATGCCTTATTCTACAACCTATACTATGGACGATTACAATTTACAAAATTGAATCAAAGGTTATACTAAAAATAATATAATTTGATATAATAGTAAGCTTTGGTCTTATATAAATTAAATTATTATAGTAATACAGTATTAGTAGTCATGCATGGTACGGCCAAGAAAACTAATTTTGTTGGATAACATTAGGTAATGGCGAGAGGAAGATGGTGAAATAATGAGAATGACAGATATTTATCAGCTAATCTCTGAACTTACTATGACACTGTTATAATTGTGATAACGTTATATTTTGGACGAGATTTTTTTTTATACCTTGTTTAGCGAACCCACCGACTGCAAATATCGATGATTTCGATTAAAAATAAAATTTTATTTTTGGCCACTTAACGCACCCACAAAAAGGTCGAAATTTCAGAAAAGAATAAAATGTTTTCATTATTTTTATTACGCCCTCCGCTGCCTTGAAATCTCCAAAGATAAGGTATAAGAAAACAACATTTTATTTTTATTCTACCCTCTGATAATCTTTAAAAAATTATGTACAGTACGCAAATCAAGGAATAAAAAAAATCCCGCCTTATTCCTCCTCTTTTCAAATTCTTGTCAATCGTGAATGCAATTTGTTTTTATTGAAACATACAATTGCTGACACAAATATTTTTTCAAAATAATTGTGTAATTTGTGTTGATAGATAAAATATTTAATCTTTGCATATTGGATAAGAATTATTATGCAATAATAGAGAAATAGTAATTTTGAAAGTTGATTTTCTTTCAGGTTTCTGTGAAGAAAAACATGTTGTTGTAGATTTTCCTTCAGATTCAACAAAGCACATATCTGGCGTACCAATACTGGATAACCATGGAGTGAATATGTTCGCATCGCTTTTCACTGCCCTTATTATGCCGTCAATCGCCCTTGCCTACTGGCCCTTCCCTGAGTAATTCAATAAACCAAATGAATTATGTGATGTTATGAGAAAGGGGAATCAGTAACAATGACATTCCTTTGTGCTATATCAATTTATTTTTCAACTGCAATAGTATATATTTAAAATGCATTCGCCGTTGCTAGACTATATGAAACAGACATGTTCAAGTTCAAGTTCATTGGTTTTGTGCTACTTTATTGATATTTAAAAAAAAAAGTATATTTGAATTTCATTCTCATGTAACATTGAGTGACTCATCATGCTAGATAAATTAAGTTGGGGTGGGGGGGGGGGAGTGTGGGTTGGGAATGGAGTTTCTTAAGTCCATAGAAAATAGTCCTACTGCTCTGGACCAATTTTTAAAGATTAGTATAATAATAAGTAAAGAAATAACAATTATTTAGTAATTATTTCAATTTAAAAATTTCATGATTTAACTAGTGATAATTATGAAAGAATTAATTATATAGGTAATAATAGTCTCAATTATCATTTAAATTATTATATGTTAATTAACTGTGACAATTATTATAAAATATAGGAACTGATCAAGTCCTTTTAATTTACATTAATTATAAATTCATTTATACATTTTGAGAGATGTTATATGTTGATAATGTACAGTTGCATGCATCCCTTCCATACTTACATGGATACATTAACCTTATCCAAGATAAGTTTTTTATATGTTATTAGCTTTTATATTATTTATTCTGGCCCTTCCCTGAGTAATTCAATAAACCAAATGAATTATGTGATGTTATGAGGAAGGGGAATCAGTAACAATGACATTCCTTTGTGCTATATCAATTTATTTTTCAACTGCAATAGTATATTTTTAAAATGCATTCGCCATTGCTAGACTATATGAAACAGACATGTTCAAGTTCAAGTTCATTGGTTTTGTGCTACTTTATTCATATTTTTTAAAAAAGTATATTTGAATTTCATTCTCATGTAACATTGAGTGACTCATCATGCTAGATAAATTAAGTTGGGGTGGGGGGGGGGGAGTGTGGGTTGGGAATGGAGTTTCTTAAGTCCATAGAAAATAGTCCTACTGCTCTGGACCAATTTTTAAAGATTAGTATAATAATAAGTAAAGAAATAACAATTATTTAGTAATTATTTCAATTTAAAAATTTCATGATTTAACTAGTGATAATTATGAAAGAATTAATTATATAGGTAATAATAGTCTCAATTATCATTTAAATTATTATATGTTAATTAACTGTGACAATTATTATAAAATATAGGAACTGATCAAGTCCTTTTAATTTACATTAATTATAAATTCATTTATACATTTTGAAAGATGTTATATGTTGATAATGTACAGTTGCATGCATCCCTTGCATACTTACATGGATACATTAACCTTATCCAAGATAAGTTTTTATATGTTATTAGCTTTTATATTATTTATTGCATATATTCTTTTTGCCTTTATTATAAATTGATGGTGTACAATGCTTATCCTAGGGTGTAACCCAACTTGGATGAGTTTGTGCAATATTGTGCTTGTGTACTAGACAGTAAGTTGGTATTGAGAATTAATACCTTCATTCTTTTTGTTTTTGAAACTTTATGTACAATTTTGCATTAAAAATAATGATGAAGTTATTTAATAAATATTTTGATTTAATTTTTTTTTTAAATAAATTATTAGGGAACATGAATGTTGCAATTTTTTTAATTTAAGATGTTTGAGATAAAGAGAATTTGTTGAAGATGCAATACGATAGCTAATTCAATTGTGTCCTCCAGACTTTTGTCGCTGTAAGTTCTTCGAAACGAATTAAATATTATTTGAAGGTCAAAGTATTGAAAAACAGCAAGTATCCATTTTTCTACAGCAAGTCAAACAGGTTCGTATAGCGCCCTCTTGGAATAAAACTTTTCCAAAATAATAACAGTACTATAAATTCAAACGCAAGGCATGGTACTTGATTTAAATACTTAACGTAGAATTTGTATTATGAACAAGCAATTCCCGTCAATTTGAAGGAACATGGAGGAGAATAGATGTGCATTTAACCATATTCAGTATCGGTACTCAGCTAGTATGCCATCTAAACCGCCTAAATAAAAATGATAAAAAGAGCGATAGAATTGAACCGGCCAGACACACATTCATCACTGTGGTTGATATTGAGTTCTCCAAAACAACATTTCTGTCCCATGACTTTGCATTTTTCAAAGATCATGCTAACCGGACTCTGTCAACACCGGACTAATTTTAATTAATATTAGCATGCCAGTGATAGCAAGCCACACAGTAACCTGTTTGATATCTATCACGTGGACTTTAAAGTTAAAATTGTGTCAATATTTGTACTTTGCAGACTCCGTTTTTGACGCGAGGCTGAAACATCCATCAACAGTTTGCGAATATCGTTCAAACTTGCGGGATACATTTCCGCTCGATGGACCCATCCTATTAAATACGCTTATATTCAAAAACTCAATCAGCTTATCTGTCTACATGGCAGAAGAATAATTCGGAAAAATGTCGCTTAATAATCGAAGATATTTCATCACTTAGGCCTATGGAGTGAATTTGTATACCACTCCCCTTTATAGTCATGTCCATTGCAAACAAGAACGTCAAGAGCTATCATGTTTTATGCCTTCCTCACTTCACAAATAAAATGTATCCAATTTTGTTATAATATTACTGTACCTGTATTACAGGAATAAAACGCGACATAAAGTTTATATATTTGGCAAAGTATCCTGAAAATAACATGCATAACAAACGTTGGTTTAATGCCAACTTTGGCAATAGGCTGTGAACCGGTCCCATAATAATAGACCTGATGAATATCATACCATTCTATAGGTCTAGTCACTAGTCCCCATCTCCCACCCTCTTTCCCTCTGGCCTAGAAAAAGTATAGATTCTCTGCTCAATTCGGACACTGCTTGACGCCATTAAGACTGAAAATATTAATTTGCCCATTCATCCAACGAAATTTTGGATATTGTGATTGTTAGGCCCATTTGGTCAAAAACCATTTTGTTTTACTCGTAAGCCATCTCATGTGACCTGACGGGGTTTCCCCAAACACTGTTTTTACTCCTGACTAGAGATCCGATGTGGGCCCCGGTTGGTTCGTCAGTCGGTCTGCTCTTGGCAAATTTCTGGACCCATGACTGCGTCATCGTGACAAACTAGTGGTACACAACGCCTTTAAATGCTCTTTATCCGTCCACCCATATCTATGTACACTTCCCCCATATTTTGGCCTGTGTTTTGTTACCGTCATTAGTATCTCTGTCTCTTTACACCAGGAACCACATTACGTGTTGAACTTTTCAATTAACACCGCGCAGCGGCTAGTTGCACAGATAGATAATACGGTATTGGCGGAATTTGGCTTCTGTTGTCCGAGGATTGAAATGGGCGTTAATTGTGGCGGCAAATTAAAACCACAACCAGCAACAGGCGATAAAATCTGGGTGAAAGATATTACACAGCAATCTAACTATAGGCTTAGACCTACTCAATTTCTATTTCTTTCGTATTTTCAATTATTATTTTCTTGGGTTGCTTTACTAAAATCTAGTTGGATCCAAAGATAGGAAAGATAGGCCTATTACTAAAAATACATTCTATATACAATTTTATTTGAAAATCCTATCATCCAATTTATTGCAAAATTAAAGTTCCAAAACATCAGCGAATCTTTGTAGCAAACAATAGCAAGAATTTTCAGAGAGATCAATTCATTATTCTTTTTTTTAATTTTACACACATTTACTAAGATTTATATCTTAAAAGCACTTTTTTAAGATGTCAATTCATGCCATATTTTGCATTTCTTTGAAAATGAAAACCTAGGGATTTGGCCACGTCAAATGGATCCCGTCATGCAGGATATGAGTTTGAGGAGCACGGGCCAACTCTGCTTCGGTGCCTACTGACTCATCGCCTGTGTCATAACAAGCCTGCATGTAACATAATATTTTTTTTGTTTTATATTTACACATTTCAATAATGATTATGCCGCATAATTGTGACTACTTCTATACTTACCTATCTGGCTAAAGATATTCGATCGATAGCAGTTTTATTTTAAGTTCACTCAACCCTTGAAACATGAAAGATATAAACGTTTGTTTTCTGTTTAAAAATAAAAAGTTATTGACATATAGGCCTAGTTTATCTTTGTGTATATCATCTTAAGTTTTTAATTTATCCTGTCTTTTTGAATGATTTATTTTAGAAGTATGAGAATTGCTATGACAAGCTTTAATGAATCAATAGTCAAGGTAACACGGTTCATTTGTTTCACTATTACGCACATTGAATTGTCAACGCGTATTTTAAAGTTAAAAAGTGATAATCTCGACAATACACCTCATTGCTTATTTTTGTTTATTGCAGAAACAGTGTAGGCCTTTTAGTGTTTAGTGTCTCTGTAATTTTCCGTATGGGAATATATAAATTTGACATTTCGTAAGTTCACGTCATTAGTTAAAGAAGAGATAACGCGTTGAATCAATCACAGAACGTAAACTCATGGTTGTCCATTTCAAGAGCAGTAAACGCTTTCGAATAGAGCATGACTATAGTCTAAATTACTAATCATTTGTATTACATTATTTTATATTTTCTGTATTTTTTGTACGGACATCGATGTAAAATTCATCATATTACAGTTTTGGTCAAAATGTAAACAGTAAACCTAAATTCAATTGGATTCGATGAAACATGTTTAAAATAACCCTCATTGGAAACATTCGATAAGCAATAATGTATTGATAAGTTGGCCTGGTTTTTATCTTAAAGTGATTTACGAGTGCTTTTTCAAAATCACTTCACTAACCTGTCGCTCTATGTATTGCAAAATGTCAATTTAATGAACGTTTTCATACAGTACGGTAATCACCAACAGGTCTAATGTTCAAGATTTAATGCTCAGTCTGTATTGAAGTCAATTGTAATCAGGTCGTTTTTGAAACTTTTCCTTACGACTGGACTTTTCTAAAAGTAAATCAACATCATTTATACCGCTAACGTTACATTATTAATAATCCTTGCGGTGTCATGCAAAAGTAGCCTACACCATTGGACACATACAAAAGCATATTTAATTGTTGTTTAGATGTTTATGTATTGCTTAAATACGGTACTGAAACAATACCGTAATGTTTAACCATGGAGTTATAATTATAACTCCATGGTTGGGCTAAGCATTTGTCTGATCTGCCAACCTAGGTAGGTTAGTCAGGCGCGGATCCAGGATTTTCCAAACAACCAAAATTTGGTTTCCTATACTTTCAACGAAAAAGAAACAAACTTCAAATATAATGTCTTGTTTCAAATTTAGAACGATATTTCTCTGCGTAAACTTTATGACAAATGGGCGACGAAAGACAAAGACCGACTTCCGCACCAGTTGGTCATTGGTCATTGACATCTTGAAGATTTATCGCTACAAAGTCCTGTCACCGATGACTTGACCCTTAACGCGTTTACGCTGCGATGACAGAAGTTAAGTACGAATGAGTCAATGGCAAACATAATACCAACATCGCTACAAAACTGGAATACTAGTTCATTAGATTAAAGCCAAGGACATAAATCATTAGCAAGATCAACCCAGTGCATCAGACCAGTCGGCCACTTTGGGGATAAAGGGAGAATACAAGTCATCTCGCAACATTACTTTTATAGGCATAATAATCAGGCCCATGTGTATAATTTTATTTAAAATAACTATCATTTACATTTGTTTATATGGTTCTAGTTCTGGTCGGTAAAGCCGAACCCGTAAAGGACTTCAAATTGTAGGAGTGTAAAGAAGGAGTAGAAATAGGGACGAATGATAGGATGTTTAGAGTGACATAAAAATAATAATTAATTATGGCGCGGTAAAAATTTCTCTGTTATTATTATTAATAATTTCCACTTCGACTTTCCAGTTTTCTTTATGAGCTACCATTAATTATGACAGCGTGGGCGTAGCTGGCTGGATTGAAGTTCTGAATTATTAGGCTACCAACACGCTTCCGTGGTCTAGTGGTAGTTCGCACGCCTTGGCAGTGAAAGGTCGGAGGTTCTATTTATTAAGAAGTACTTTTTCACACAACTCAAAATAAACTTTTTGTTGAAGGACTATGCTTAATCATAATACACCATTTGTTTTGATATTTGAGCACAGTATATCATTTACCATTTTGTTATAGTAATAGTTTTAAGCCTAGGTATCCTATAATTATGACGTCCCGTGAACAATTATACATCAACCTATTTATATCTAGCTAGGCCTGTGCATTTATCATCCATCTATCATCTATCTTTATTTATCTTTATATGTTCTTCTGACTAATTTTGTCTGTCAGTCTTTAATCTCTGCCTGTGTGTCTGTCTACCTCAGATATACTTATATTGAGCTCATCTTGTGTTAATAGGCCTAGACCTCAAGTTTATTTATAGACTACCATGGAATTGATACTTTCGTTTTTGCAATATTCCATTCAATCGGTTTAATAAACATCTGATTAATTTACATTGATTGTAGTGTACTGTATAAGGGTGTATACGTATAAACATATCTTATACATACATAGCAGGCCTGATATATAGTTACATCTACGATCAATATGCTCTAGACTCAGCAACAGACTCTAAACAGCATTAGTAATGTTAGTCCTTCGTTGACGTCACTCGATTTAACACAAATACAGAGAGAGTTGAAACTTTTTTATCTCATCATAGGGAAAGTAAA